CTGCCCCAGGCGTCCCCAAGTCAGCCGCTGCTGAAACTGACCAGCGCTAACTACAGGAAGCCCGAGGCACAATTGCTCTGCCCGGGCTTCCTGGAATCAGCCGCTGATCAGTTTCAGCAGCAGCTGACTTGGGGATGCCTGGGGTTCTTAAGTTGAATCTGTATGTAAGTCAGAACTGGCGTCCAGATTCAGCCGCTGTTGAAACTGATCAGGGCAAATCTCAGATTGGGTTGCCCAGGAGAGATGTGAACACTCGTAGTGTAAAAATTCAAAAAGAGAGTCTACCCTAAATTTAACTGTTTAAAACTCAAAGCAGTTTCAGTAGTTTGAAAATAATGTTCAGTTCTAATAGAGCCATTGGTTCTCAAACTGTGGGTTGGGACCCCAAAGTGAGTTGCAATCCCATTATAATCAAGTCTCCAGGGCTGGTGTTAGATTTACTAGGGCTGAAGCTGAGGGCCAAGGACTTCAGCCCTGGGTGGAAGGGCTCAGGTTACAAATCCTTCTATCTGGGGCTGAAGCCTTTGGTCTCTGGTTTTGCCTCCTTCCCCTGTTTGGAATGGTAGGGCTCAGGCTTTCTCTCTCCCCCAACCCTGCCAGGGGCAGTAGGGGTCACGCAGGCTGAAGCACCGGTTCCCCTTCTTGGGGTCCTTTAGTAATTTTTGTTGTTAGGAGATCACAATGCAATGATGCTTGAGAACACCTGTAGTAGTGTTGATAATAGGAAGATCCATGGGTCTGTACACCTGTAGGGAGATACCAAAGTTGTTAACAAAGGACACAAATGCTGAAACTTTTTGCAGGTAGCAATTAAAGCAACTTCCGTCAGACAAGTTAAATCATGAAGCCATCTGCCTAACCCATCAACTGTTCTTTGAGCATTTGGAGCTGAACCAGACTCGGTTCTGAAATTTATATAACCACTCTTGGATTTCTCTGCCTTTCAGACAGACAAGACCACTAAAATCTTCTCAAACCACCAGAGAGGCTCTTGCCACCTGGATGCTATTTTCATCTTATGAACTGGATGGTTCTTAAAGCCACTTTTTGACCCATAAAGTTGGGGGGTTTTACTGGATTTCAGCTTTCCAACCTCTTTTCTCCATCCAGATTTTTTGAAGCTGGAATGTTGGGAATCTGAGATTAGGTATTTTAAGCTTTGCATGCTTTCAGAAAATATGAGAATACTTTTTTAAAATCTAGGAAGAACTTTACCATCTAGTCTTATCAAGGTATTTTAAACATTTTCTCATTTAGTGTAGATTTTACGCTATAGATGTGACATCATTCATCACATTGGAAGCAGAATCAAACCTTGATGTCCAGGTTTTTTTCCACAAGACTTTACTGCTTGAGCTAAAAAGACTTGGCTTTTAAAATGTGCAAGGCTTGTCCACCTCCATGTGGCCTAGTCATCACTAGAGGGTAATAGAACACTATGCCAAATAGGTGTTGGTTACACAGACAACCTCCAGCACTTTCAATTCAGCCATTTCAGAATTCCATAGGGCTTAAGCCCTATTTTCCTGTCTCCTTAATTATTTACCCTGTCTCAGCAGATTGGATTTGACCATTTGGGAGCATTATCTGTCAATGCAGTGTTTGCATATCTTTCCAAACAAAATGGTCTTCAGACCTTTTACAAATTTGGTACCTATTGCTAATTTATTTTTTCACGTCAGAGACTGCTTTTCTTTTTGTCCCAGACCAAGTAATCCAGCTGAAATTGCTGCACATCCTAGATGTTTGGCGCATCCTAAAAATATTACTTGGCTAGAACCAAATCATAGAAGTCAGATAGATCTACAGGATAGACAAGAAAACTTCAAAGTTTTCATATGGATTAGACTGGCAATGAAACAAAGGTACCTTGCCCTAGTAAAGATTTTTCCAAAGGAATCATAATGCACATGACAAGACTGAGCTCCCCTTTCTGAACAGGAATCATTGATGCTTTGAACCAGGAAACTTGCAAAGCAACTACATGGTCTGTGTGTTTTTATCCAACACTGAAAAGTTTCATGTCAGTGGAGACAGCCTTTAACTGTAGTGTTCAGCAAACTGTGGTTCATATATAATAGCTTAATTAAAATAGTCTAGAACATGTTGTGTCCCCCACCTTCCTTTTGGATATTATCTTGTTTCTGGCAACATTCATTATTTTACTGCCTGCTAGATCCCAGCAGTGAACCTTCTGGATAGTTGGATGGTCCTTGTGAGTGAGAGAAGAAAAATTTTGATTTCTCGTAGGGGGGGATATCCACCAATCCAGAGGAATCCGTTCTATATCTATTTTTAAGTATGAATTCTTTTTATAATCATCTGTTGTTTTAAGAAGAGAGTGTGTCTTACTGGTGCATTAAAAATATCTCTTTCCAGTTTTAACCAATTTATATGAAAGCTTAAGAATAGATCTTCAGGGGTGTCTCCTGTTCTGCATCTGATTTATTGGAGTCTCCCTTTTACACCTGAAATCAGAGCCAGCTACCTCCAGGGATCAGTGGGTTGAACCTACCCAGCTGTGAGTTCCACTATGAGATACCAAACTTACAGGTAAGGGAAAAAAGAAGTCCCTTCATTTACTGTGGTTCTTAAATTTACCTGATATTAATCTGAGGTGACCTTTTTCATAATAAAAAGAATGGAAAAGGGAAGGATTGGTCAATTCTGTCTGTTTCACTTCTTTGCAGGCTAATATGTTTTGCAGTCTCTCATCATAAATTATACCCATTTGCAAATCATCTTGTCTTGTTTAGCAAATATATATTAGTAGTGAGGAGAGATGACTAATCTTTAAGGAGCACATGTGTCTGTTTTCAGTTTTGCAAGAAGATGAGCTTTGTGTTTGCTTTCTAGGCTCCAAAGGTGGCTACAGTCAATCTAGTGGTATTTATAGTCAGAGCCAGCCTCAGAGACAGGTGACTACAATTAAGCCAGTTCAAACAGTGAGTGCCACATCTTCAAGCTACAATGCCTACTCAGCAGTAACAGCTGTTCAGCAGAATGCATCTGCCTCCTCCATTTCCGCGTACACCCCCTCCTCTTCATACAACTGTGCTTCAACATCATACTCTGGTAAGGAGGTAGCTGCCATGCAGATGTTGCACTGTATTTATTTTTGTTTAAACTATAACTCTCATACAATTGTTCCCTTTTCTTTCTGCCTCTAGGATCACATTATTCCAGTTACGATGCCACAGCATACACAACAGCTAGCACTTACTATCAACCACCTCAGCAGCCCCAGCCCCAGCAGCAGCAACCACCACCACCCCCGCTGCAACCGAAATCCACAAGCTCTTCTTCATGGAGTAGCACAGGGAACAGCATCGCCACGAACTCTAGCAACAGCTTCAGCAAAAAAACACCTTTTCAAAACAAACTGCTGAAACCCAAAGGGCCCCCTAAACAGCCTCAGCTTCACTACTGTGACATCTGCAAGATCAGCTGTGCTGGTCCACAGGTTAGCAATCCCCCTTTACCTACGTATCCACTCTATATAACCTGCACTTACTGATCTGCAGTATGTCCACCCAAATTCTCTGTACCTCTTTCTCCCAGGTCACTTCCCCCAAGGGTCCTGCACCCTTCCTACACCCTTTGTCTAGGCCACAGTTGTCTCTGGCACCCATGACCCATAACCCTGCATCCCATTCCCCTGCCTCAAGCCATCACGCGAACATTCTGCACCCCCTTCACCCAGGTCACAGCTCCCTCCCAGACCCTGCACCTCCTCCTAGAGCCCCTCCCTTGGGCCAGAATCCTCTCCTGCACCCATAACTCCTCTCAGACTCCACACCCCCTCCTGCACTCCAGTCTCCTACCTGAATTTCCCTTCTTCGCCCAACCTCTTTCCCAAAACCCAAACCCCTTCGGTAGAAATGCGGCCCTTGGCGGTCTTGGCGAGACCCCACATTAAAAATTTTTGCCCACCCTGGCTGAGTGTAGTAATAATACTCTGTTCACTGCTTCTAATTGAATAAAACCGAAGCTAATTGTTAAGTACTTCTATCACAGAATCACCCAAGTTAGGATTGGGTCCCAGTGTTTGAAGTGTTTTATGAATACAAAGGAATTGCTTTTGTCCAAAATGCTTAGTCTGGAAACTTCTTGAATCCAATAAAATGAGCTCCAATTTTTAGCATAAATATAATTCAATCCATATGAAATGCATTTTGCGATTGGAATGAATGAAAAATCCGAGCTTTTCAGAGTTTTGCATAGGGAAATCAGTTACCTTAGATTGGGTTATGTAGTACTACTTTAAAGCCAGCATTGCAAAATTCTGTTTGTCCATTCAGTTGGATCAAACTGTAATTTTTTTTAGTGGGTAAGTGAAATATTGGGGTTCTGTTTCCCTACCTCCGAGTATCATGCTGATGATAAATGGCAAGTGAGTAGATTGGTGCCGGGTTTGATAATTCATGACCATCTTGTAGGAGTGCTTTAAACCATTGTTTAACTCATATTTTTTTAAAGAGTACTAGTTATCTTTATAGTAATTACGGTAAGCTTTTTTGTCCTTTAATTCCAATGGTGGTATGCATTCTCAATCTGCTGCCTCACAAAAAGACCAAATATCAGTAAAATAATTCCCTCTGAGAGAGACCTGTTTGTTCATTGAGTAGTGATAATGAAATGTGCCCGACGCTTCTAAAAACTGGTATTAAAAATACTTCAAATATTCCTCTGATTGTCCTATAAATATTGTAACTTTGTAAGCCTAAATGGGTTTTGTAAATGGACATTGTCTTCTGGAGGATGTAAAGCACTATATACAGGCAGGTGTATTTGCTTCACCTGCCTGGATATGACTCTATATGAGGGGCAGGCAAAAGCCTCTCAGCAGTCTAGGTTCAGCCCGCCTAGGGCTTTGATCAGGCCCGCGAAGCAGTTCCAGGCCCTGCCGCCTAGCGCACACATGCCGATTCTCAGCAGCAATGGGGAGGGAGCTCATCTCTGCTCCTCATCCCCCACATGGCTACTGGAGAGCACTCCCTCCTCCCTGCAGCAGGTTAGGCTGCGATGGGAGGAGGCAGCACTGGGATTGAGGCTTCTCAGCAGCGCCCCTGGGTCCTGCCCGGGACTGCATGGCTGCAGCTGTGGCAGTAGCAGCTGTGGGGCTGCAGCAACAGGGCCTCTAGCCTCTGGGGCCAGCCTGGGACTGAATGGCCATGGCCGCGGTGCCTCCGGGGCTGGCCCGGGGCCATATGGTTGCAGCAGTGGTGCCTCTGAGACTGGCCCCAGTCTCTGGGGCTGGCCCTGGACCATGTGGCCAAAGCAGTGGTGCCTCCAGCCTCTGGGGCTGGCCCTGGACTGGGTGGCTGCTGCGGCAGCAGGGCCTCCGTCCGGGGCGGCTGGGACAGCGTGGCTGCAGTCGTTGCTGCAGGGGGGCACAAAGCCAGGTAAGGTTCCCCCTCATGCCCCCCTCCACCCGCCAATCCCTCAGTTCCCTCCCCCCCCCAAGACCCAGTACCCCCAACTTGCTCCAAGACCGTCCCTTGTACCTGCACCCTCTCTCCTGTCCACACACTACAGCCTCTCTTGTTCTTGCTCCCTCCACCTGGCCAGACACCCTACTCCCAGCCTGCTTCTGCACCCCACCTCCCTCCTAGATCCTGCACCCCATCCCTAAGCTGCTTGCTGGCAGCCCTTTCTCACTCACTATACCCCTCATTTTTGTCCCTACCTCAGAGCCTAAGGAGGTCCATAAAATCCACTAACTGCAGAATCCCAGAAAAGTAAATCTGGTTCAGGAAGCCCTGAGCCTCAGTCTCCTCCTTCCCTTCACCCTATGAGACTGGAGCACCAGAGGACTGAGGTGTCTCAGTTGGGGCCACATCAGTAAGCATTAGGGGGTTTTGGAGGAGCTTTTTTTCTTCTCACTTGTGTGGTCCCCAATTGATTTTTCTGTGGGTCAATGAACCCCACCCAAAAAGGGTTTCCCACCCCTGCCATAAATAAAGAAAACAGTGAAACCTTTTGTGTTGGACATAAATTAATATTTTACTTTATTTAAAATGAAGTTTGATAAACTAACATGAGAAAGTTAAAACGCTTAATGTGTTTCATAATTTAAATTAAACCATTCTCACTAGCTGCAGCTGGTTCAGAAAATAAGGTCACTGTACCCAGCCTGCCCTTGCCTCTCCTTCCCTTCTTTCCCCTGGCACACAGATCTGTGAATAAGTTAAATCCCAGTATGCCACTTCTGAAAGGTTGCCAACCCCTACACTAAACGGTAAGATTTGCATCTTAATTTATTAATGAAGCATCTGTAAGTAGGACTATTATTGACTTTAAAAAGTGTAACCGGCACTCGGACCGGTACATAGAGGCGAATAAGTCAAATCTCGACACTCCGCCTCTGAAAGGTTGCTGGTTCCTGACCTAGCCCATTGCCTGGGAGACTTGCGTGTTGTACTTAAAAAAAGTACTCGGGATCTTTTTCAGGGGGGATAAGGCAACACGCCGCATTTATTGATCACACATAGAATAATCAACACTTATCATATGCATATGATATGATATATATGTCACTCATGCACTCACACACACACACACGCATACAAGCACACTCCGTCTTGCTGTTGTTACCAACGAGTTGCTCCCCTTAACTTCACTGGCCAGGTGAGTTAGATGGGGGAGGGGTGGAGCCGGGCTTCTGCCGATCCGGATCGATGCTCCGATGGTGACAAGACGAAACCCCGGGTCCTCTGCAAGACACTTCACTTTTATAGCAGCCCTCTCATATGCAAATATATCCCAGATTCAAAATCTGTGTCTGTGTCTGTGGGTCCCTTTGTGCTGCAGAGAGGGTGTTTTCCAAAGAAGGTGCATGCTTCTAATCCCCAAGGCCGTCAATATGTCTGCTCTTCTATCTTAAGCCCACTTGACAAATTGGGTCTGGCTTCCACCCCCTCTTCAACTGTTGAGGCTGTCTGGAGGTGCTTGGCTCCCAAGTCTTACTCATTCACACCTCATTCATTCAACAGGGCAATTGATTACAGAGTGGGGGGGAAGAGAGTAGGGGGAAGATCTTATTCTACTCCTAGCAAAAGACATTTTTATCACTTTAACTATATACTCAGTTTTCTACAAGTTTTCTATATAGGGTTCTAATACAAAGTTACAAGGTTCTATGGATTCAGGTTCTAATACAAAGTTACAAGGTTATATGGAGAGGCACAATGTCAAGTCATATGAAGTAATATATATATAATACATAGATTTATCTACATGTGTAGGGTTGCCAGGTGTCCGGTTTTGAACCGGACAGTCCAGTATTTGAGCTTTCTGTTCGGGAAACAAATTGAGAAAATATAAATGTCCGGTATTTGCTAGATAAGATGGAATGTAGATTGCGATGTAATGTCAAGTGTGTCCGGTATTTTTGTTGAAGCCATCTGGCAACCCTAGATGTGTGAGCCCTTTCAACTGCTTCTATTTAAAGAGCTTGTGCTTGCTGGGCAGCTGCGTTGCCTGGCAGACACTAAGCACGCACAAGCCCTTTCAGCAGAAGTAGTTGAAAGGACTTGCAGCTCTTGGTCCCACTGGCCCGTTGCCTGGGAGCTGCCCGGGAGGCGCAGGCCCTTTTAACTGCTTCTATTCAAAGGGCTTGTGCCTGCCAGGCAACAGGTTAGCAGTGGGGCTAGGGACTGCCAGCCATAGAATCATAGAGCTGGAAGAGACCTCAGGAGGTCATCAAGTCCAGCCCTCTGCCCAAAGCAGGACCAATCCCAACTAAATCAACCCAGCCAGGGCTTTGTCAAGCTGAGACTTAAAAATCTCTAGGGATGGAGATTCCACGACTTCTCTAGGTAACCCATTCCAGTGCTTCACCACCCTCCCAGTGAAATAGTTTTTCCTAATATCCAACCTATTCCTCTCCCACTGTATCTTGAGGCCATTGATCCTTGTTCTGCCATCCGTCACTACTGTGAACAGCCTTTCTCCAGCCTCTTTGGAACCTCCCTTCAGGAAGTTGAAGGCTGCTATCAAATCCCCCTTCACTCTTCGCTTCTGCAAACTAAACAGACCCAACTCCCTCAGCCTCTCCTCATAGGTCATGTGCTCCAGCCCCTAATCATTTTGGTGGCCCTCCGCTGGACCCTCTCTAATGGGTCCACATCCTTTCTATAGTGGGGGGCCCAGAACTGGACTCAGTATTCCAGCTATGGCCTCATCATGGCCGAATAAAGGGGAATAATCACTTCCCTGGATCTGCTGGCAATGCTCCTCATAATGCACCCTAATATGCCATTAGTCTTCTTGGCTACAAGGGCACACTGTTGACTCATGTACAGCTTCTCATCCACTATAATCCCCAGGTCCTTTTCTGCAGAACTGCTACTTAGCCAGTCGGTCCCCAGCCTGTAACAATGCTTGGGATTCTTCCGTCCCAAGTGCTGGACTCTACACTTGTTCTTGTTGGGCCAAAAGAAATCTGATGAGGTTCAATCCTCTAATCTGTCCAGGTCACACACATGTTATGTAAATTCTAAGCCTTCACCCCAGACAACTCTGGGAGGAGGCTAGCCCCCAGCACCCTCCTTTCTGTTCCAGGTCCCATCCATTGGCCAGAAGTCAGGGGCAGAGACCCCAGTTCAAGAAAAGTTCTTGGCTGAGTAGTTCTCAATCCTGCCCCTTCCGCCCAAGGCCACACCTCTTCTGTGTCAGCCCACGGCCACTTCCAAAATTTGTGAAGAGGCCCCCCCCTTCAAAAATTATTGCCCACCCCTGCTCTAGATGCTGCTGCTTTGAGTAGTGTTAATAAGTGAAACAGGCCACAAAAAGGTTTTGAGTTGCACATATTTGTACCATTAAAACTAGCCTGGTTATATGACCTCTTTGCAAATGAATGGGTCCAAGGAAATGCAGGGATGCTATCAGTGTCTCACATTACTGCTTAGAATGTATTTCCCTATTTGATTTCAGACTTACCGGGAGCACTTAGAAGGACAGAAGCATAAAAAAAAGGAGGCAGCTCAGAAGACAGGTAACCTGACAATCTGTGGCCTTCGTGGGGCACAGATTCAGCTTCGATGCGAGCTCTGTGATGTCTCCTGCACAGGCGCAGATGCATATGCAGCACACATCCGGGGAGCAAAGCATCAGAAGGTATGAGTGCTCAGCAAGACCATGGATATTGAATGTAGACATATTGTGTAATATCTGATTATAGAAGATGCTGGTTTTCTTAAAATGTTCACAGTACCCACAGTTATCAGGAGAATATTTCTGAGAAAAAAGTTGAAGTAGAAGTATATCTAGACTACAAGATTTGATTGCTATAGATGACTGGCTATCCAGAAACCCCTGAAACAAAAGACTGTATCACTAGGATGCTTCAACACTCAGCAGTGTACTTGGGTACTGCGATACCAGAAAATATGGCTATCAGAGAACCTTAGGACTGGAAGGGATCTTGAGAGGTCATCTAGTCCAGTCCCCTGCACTTCTGACAGGAATAAACATTGTCTAGACCATTCCTGACACGTATTTGTCTAACTTGCTCTTAAAAAATCTCCAGTGATGGAGATTTTACAACTTCCTTAGACAATGTATTCCAATGTTTAACTACCCTGACAGGAAGTCTTTTCCTCATGTCCAGCATAACCCACCTTGCTGCAGTTTAAGGATATTGCCTCTTGTCCTATTCTCAAAGTTTAATGAGAACAGTTTTTTTTTCTCCTTCTTGAAATAACCTTTTACGTACAGATTGGTCCTCTCTGGTCCAGCACTCTCGGGACCTGACCGGTCCCAAATGAGGGAATTTCCTGGACCAGAAAAGGTCCCCTGCTACTGTCTCCCCAGACCACTCTCCCTCCCTGCTGCCCCAGCCCTGGCAGCCTGGACTGCCCTAGTCCCAAAGCTGCTACCTGGGCTATCGCATCTCCGGCCCCGGCTGCGACTTCCGCATCCCTGGCCCTGCTATTGGGTCTGCTGCGGGTACCGGGGCTCCAGCGCTGGTCCCAGCCCCATTGTGCTCCGAGCTGCCGGCCTTCTTCCCACTGGGGCTCTCATCCAGGAACACCTGTGATCTTGCTGGACCACAGATTTTGCAGGATGAGCGAATCCTGGTTTTGGGAGGTCCAACCTGTACTTGCAACTGTTATATCCCTCTGTTTTTTCTTCTCCCAGACTAAACCCAGTTTTTTCAGTAGGTCATATTTTCTAAACTTTTAATCATTTTGATTTTGCTTCTCTGGATTTTCTCCAATTTGTTCACATCTTTCTTGTAATATGGTGCCTGGAACTGAACATAGTAATCCAGTTGAGGCCTAATCAGCATAGAATAGAGCAGAAGAATTACTTCTTGTCTCGCTAACACTCCTGCTGATACCTCCTAGAATATTTGCTTTTTTTTGAAAAAGCATTACACTATTGACTGATATTTAGTTTGTGATCCGCTATGTCCCCCTCTTTCTTAGGCAGTCATTTCTGATTTTATATGTGCGCAACTGATAGTTCATTCCTAAGTGGAATACTTTGCATCTGTCCTTATTCAATGTCATTCTTTTTACTTCAGACCATTTCTCCAGTTTGTCCAGATCATTTTGAATTTTAATCCTGTCCTCCAAAGCACTTGCAACCCTTCCCAGCTTCGTATTGTCCGCAAACTTTGAAAGTGTACTAAGTATGCCATTGGACTAGGATCTAGGCCTCAAACTTTTCTTGCTTGAAAAAAATCCCTTCATCCAGCCTCTGACCATGATCTTGAATTCTCTGAAACCCCTCAAACCATGAGGGTTGGGGGAGAGATTGCTTTTTATTCCAACAGAATCAGGAGCAAACTATCCAACTTCCTACATTTTTCCCAAAGCCACATGCCATCTCCTTTGAGTCAACAATGCACACACTGGACGTGTGCAGAGCACTCTTTTTATATCCATAGGACAAAACCATTCAGGTTTTCATCTAAATTGTCCATATCCATAGCAGACCATAATAGTCATCTCCTCTCAGAGGCTTTCACACTGGCTCTCAGACTACATCTGGCTCTGCTAGAACTCTAATGATGCTAATCCTCCTCCGTCCATCCGAGCTCCCTCCACCAGGGCTGTAGCTGCTTCCATAGCCTTTCTACACAAGGTCACAATTGTGGGCATTTTTAGAGCTGCCATATGGCCTCTGAGTATACTTTTGCCAAGCACTATGTACCCACTCGCTGAATTCAAAGTGCCTAAGGCCATTTTATTCATCACAGCTTTTCTACGTGACCCTTTATACATTCAGCTTTTTAATGACCTACTGTGGCGCACCCACAGGGACATCTCTCGAAAAAGAAGGTTACTAACCTTGTGCTGTAACTGACATTCTTCAAGATGAGTGTCCCTGTAGATGCTCCACTTACCTCCCTTCTTCCCCTTTACTTCGGAGTTTTCTCTGTTGGCTCTCCATGATGGAGAAGGAACTGGGTGGAGGGGGTGCATGCACGATATCAGGGCACCAAAGGTGCTGATCAGCAGCGCGGGGGCATGCTGATACCTACTAGCATACACAAGGACACTCATCTTGAAGAAAGCCTGTTACTGCACATGGTGAGAAACCTCCTCTCTTATTATATTTTTTTATTTTATTGGACATGTCTTTGTGTAATCTTATACATTTTCTAAGGAAAAGTTTTATGGTATTGCTGTTAACATCTGTCCATTTTTAGTCCTGGCCTTTGATATGACCATTGCATGTATTTCAGGTTGTTAAATTGCATACTAAATTGGGGAAGCCCATCCCTTCAGTAGAGCCTGTTGTAGTGAACTCTGGTTCAGGTCCTACCATCATTGCAGCAGTTAAGCCAGCTTCCCATGCCCTGTCTGTTACACCAACAAAACAAACAGCTGTAGAAGCTAACAGTACAAGCAATGTAAGCAAGCCAGTACCAGTGAAGAAAGCAGTTACATCCAAAATAACATTTACAGGTATGTCTCCTTAAACTCCATTTTTAACTCTCCCGTTTTTGATGTATTGTCATTTTGTTTACAATGTCTGATTCTTCCAAATGCTTGCAGGTGGGGCCTTTTCATGTTCACATTATTATTATTCAGGAAAACTGATAAAGGAAAAGTAATTCTACATCAAGCTTTTTAATTGGTCTGAAAGTTCATTTTTTAACCACTTGGCTTCTAAAATCTAAAATTTGCTGTTGTCATCTTCCCCCTCTGCATCAACAAGTGCTCCAGAAACAGAGCAGGGATTTTTGGGTGTTTTACAAATAAGATGGCTTCCATATTTGCTAATTTCTTCTTTTTATCCCTGCTGTGAGAGGAAATGATGGGAAGGCTTCTATCTGAAAGTTGCATTGGCTGGCTGTGGAATTTTAGAAGAATATCAAACAGTAGCAGTTCTTCTTTGAGTGCTTGTCATGTCCATTCCACGTTAGGGCTGTGTCTAGACTGCACCCCTTTTGCGGAAAAGGGATGCAGATTAGACACAGCGCAATTGCAAATGAAGCGGGGATTTAAATCTTCCCCGCTTCATTTGCATGAACATGGCTGCCGCTTTTTTCCGGCTCGGGGCTTTGCCATCAAAAAGCGCCAGTCTAGACGGGGATCTTTCGGAAAATAAAGCCTTTTCTGAAAGATCCCTTATTCCTGATTTTAAGAGGAATAAGGGATCTTTCGGAAAAGGCTTTATTTTCCGAAAGATCCCCGTCTAGACTGGCGCTTTTTGATGGCAAAGCCCCGAGCCGGAAAAAAGCGGCAGCCATGTTCATGCAAATGAAGCGGGGAACATTTAAATCCCCCGCTCATTTGCAATTGTGCTG